GAACTAAATTTCTATTTATTATTATTTAGCCCTTTTAGTAAGAATGATCAGTTTTTTTTAAATTTGACATTGAAATCTCGTGTTTAGTTTTTAGTTAAATTTATTATTATTTTTAATACGCATGATATATAATTTGTTATATTAGTTAAAGAACTAAATTTCTATTTATTATTATTTAGCCCTTTTAGTAAGAATGATCAGTTTTTTTTAAATTTGTACATTGAAATCTCGTGTTTATGTTTTTAGTTAAATTTTATTATTATTTTTAATACGCATGTATATATAATTTGTTAATATTAGTTAAACTATATTTATTTAATTTTTGATTAGTATTAACTTTGTAGGATTTTTAAGTGCTTATTAATATTTAAATAATTACATTATTTAATTAGTTTTTATATGATATCCACATGAGTATTACTTGACTCAAATCTAAATAAATTGATTAAGGGTACTATTCTATCATTTTAAAATTATCAAAAGAAACTTTCTAATACGTGAATATTTAATCTATTTTAATATATAGCATTAAGTATTAATACTAGAACTTACATTTAGATTTAAGTCTCTAGGTTCCTTAATTTTCATAATTTGACACCGTAGGTTAGAAAAAGCCTTAATTTATTTTTAGTATAATTAGGATTAAATAAAATTTTGCTTGATTTCATTGTTTTTAAAACTTAAGGCAATGTTCACTTATTAAGGAATTAATAGTATATCTCCCGCGATCGTGCTCAGGGGGTGACTACTGGTAATTCCCTGATTAAGTCAACATCCTTTTCAAAACTACATCATGTTTTCTAAAAATAAGGCAATATTCAGTTATTAGGCACAATAGCTGATCTCCCGTATTTACGCTCGGGGGCGAATGCTATCGGTCTCAATAAACGAATACCCTTTTCAAACTTTGCATCCTTAATGATTTTTAAATTAAATAAAGATCGAACTCAAAGTTTCCAATTTTAAATATAGGGTAATCAACTAGGTACCAATTTTTGGGCGCTTGTGGGGGTGCTAATCCTTCCCCACGCGTAACCGACTCCTGAACCTAATTTTTGGATTTTCGTAGACCCCAAAACTTGATATTTTATTAAAATAAAATCTTTTATTAAAATCACCCAGTTTTTTACGGTGTTCCAATCTCACCTTAAATGATTGGTGGCGACTCCTCACATTTCGAAACGATTTTCAAAGAGAAAACCCCCGAGTCGATATCAGTCTTTCCCCGCCCGGGCGAAAAACGGTGTCGACAGTTAATAAATGTAAAACTATTATTTCTACTATCTTACTAAATGTGTCCATTATTGATTTTTTTAAAAAAAATTAAAAATTTAAACTTTAACAATGATTATTTTAAATATTTTAAACAAATAAATTTTATAAAATATATATTTAAAAATTACTTGATTTAAATTTTTTAGAATATATTTTTATCAATAAAAAATTTAAATAATAATGAATCAAAGTTAAAAAAATTTGACAAAAAGTCAACAATAGACATATTTAATGGAATAGAGAGAGTATTATTTTTAGGGTAAATTATGCATTCAGTATCTAAACTATTAATTTTGATCCGTTTTAGTACCTAAACTTTCATTTTTTTTCAAAATTATACATAAAGTTTAGTTTTTGTTTCATTTTTAGTACCGAAACTTAAGTGTTGAAAAAACTGAAAGTTTAGATACCAAAACACGTTTAGTACCTAAACATACTTAAGTTTTGATTATTATTTTTTGAAACTTTAGGTACTAAAACATACCAAAACTGATAGTTTAGACACCAAACGCGTTAAGTTTTAACGTCGACATACTAAAATGAAATAAAAATTAAATGTTAGGAACGATTTTGAAAAAATTAAAAGTTTAAATACTAAACGGTTAATTTACCCTTATTTTCATCAAGGAGGGGATGTTTCTCACGTTCAACAATCATCCTAAATGCACAATAAGAAGAATTTGTGAATTCCAATATCTTTATTGAGAATTAAAATATTATTTTCTTTTTCATTTTTATTACAAAACTGAGGTTGTCATTATATTTAAATTTATCTTTAAATTAATTATATCAATAAATACAATCAAACTGGTCGCTATGGTTAAAACTATTATTGAATAATATCGTACTCATGTGACGTGATGAATGTTTATAAGTTCATGTTACAATTAGTTGAGCTTAGCAATGATTTGATATCTAAACCCAACAATTGACTTGCTTTTCTTCACTAGTTTAAACCATACATTTATTTTTGTAATTATGCTGGCATCTTTTGCACAATTTCTTATTAGTGAATCTAAAAAAATATTATAAGTTATCGTAAATGAGGTGAGACATACCACGATGTATTCGAGATAAAGTTGGTCAAATTTCGGTCAATTCTTGAATTGAGTAGATTTGACTCGCGCTCGAACTCAACTCAAATTCTTAACAAGCCGAAACAAACTACTGAATATCCGACTCGAAAAGCTTGCGAGTAACTCGAAAAAAAACAATATATTGAATTTCTAATATTTTATAAATTAAATTATTATTAATATTAACATGTACAAATACTATTAAATTGAGGGATTAAAAAAAGGCAAATGAAGTTTCTCTGGGCGCACGTTAGCTGGACTAATGGGTCCTCAGTTTTTCCTCTTTGCCTCTGATTCTTTCTACGCATGGATTTTCGTAGTTGGTACTTGATTCATCCGTATGGATTCGACGCACTTGAGTCTCGATTGGAGGAATTTATTTGTGGGATCGAAGAATCAATCGCTCGATTTTCCCCCTGAGATCCAGGATGGAGCTGTCACGGTTAAACCTCCACTCGAGGTGATTGAGGAAAGCATTGCTGATTGGAATCATGCCCTAGTGGGACAGTTCATCAGCGCGGCTCCGAGTTTTGTTTCAATACAGCGTATCATTGATTCGATTTGGGGGAATTCTTCGCAGGTGATGGTTAGTTTAGCTGACCCTAACCTTTACATATTTTTATTTTTGGATGATAATCTGAGGGACTGGGTGCTTGAAAACGGCCGCTGGCATGTCCAGAACAAACATCTGGTTCTGAGGAGGTGGGAACCTGGTTTGCAGAAACTCAATTTTGGCCTAGTTTTAATGTCTATTTGGGTACAACTTTACAATATTCCACTCGAGCTTTTCTCTCAAAAGGGGCTAAGTTACATAGCTAGTGCGCTAGGAACCCCCCTTTATATGGATTCCATTATTGCTTCTCGTGAGAGGCTGGAATTTGTTAAACTTTGGGTGGAGATTGAAGTTGGTAGTATTCTTCCCGACTTTATTCATGTAATTCTTAAGGATGGGTCATCTATGAGAATTAAGGTGCATGTGCCATGGATGCCTCAGTCTTGTTCTAAGTGTAAAGTGTTCGGGCATCATGTCAATTAGTATACAGAGGTTAGGAAAACTTCTGTGAAGCCCAAATAAGTCCAAGTCTGGAGGAAGAAATAAGGCATCTATAATGGTGAGTCTGGAAGTAAGGAATCTCTGAATGTTAATGTTGATGCCCCTAATATAAAGATCACTAATGTTGTTGAGTCTCAAGGTTTTGATTCTATTCCTGACAGTTCCTTTGGGGGGACTCATCATTCGGATCTCCAGGTTGGTATTGCCATGGAGTCCTCTATTCATGATCTGCAGGAAACCAGTGAGGTTACCCAGATTGCTAGCCTGGGGACTGGCTCTATGCAAGTTGTTACTGTTGATAAGATCACTGTAAAGGATGATCATAATGTTGACTCTAGTGGACTTGTGAGCAGCTTGGGGGTTGAGGGAATGGGTATTAATGTTGTCAAGCCTAGTGATTTCCCTTCACTTCAGGATTCTCTGAAGAAGAAGACTAGGGGAAAGAAAAAAGAGGCTACTGGATCCTCTAGTAAGTCAGAAAACTTGGTGAATGGTCCTAGGAAGACTAGGGTTGCCTCTATGGCTATAGCCATGTTACTTAATGAGATAAAGGTAAAGAAAGATGGATCACCTGGATAAAGCTAAGTGTAATATGGTAAATTTGGGCACTAGTTATGATGTTCTTATCTCATCTTGATGATAGTGAGCTTTTGGAACGTTAGAGGGATTAATAACCCCCTAAAGCAGTTGAGAGTGTTTAAGAGGTTGGATTCTTGTGAAGTGGATGGTATTTGCCTTATGGAGTTTAGGATTAGAAGGGAAAATTCTGCCAAATTCTCTTCTACTCTTTCTGTTGACTGGAACTTGATTGATAATTATGATTGTGTAGATGGGGGTAGATTGTGAATTCTTTGGAAGAAGAAGCTGTCATTTCCTATTTTGAGAAGATGTGATCAGGTCATTTCAGTTATTGGTACTATTGATGGGTTTAGAATAGGAATAACTGATGTTTATGGAAGTAATAGTGGTGTTACTAGAAGAGGTCTTTCGGAGTATTTGAGGATTATTGAGAATGATCTTGGCTCATCCTCTTGGGTGATTGGTGGGGACTTCAACATTATTGCTAGAGTTGAGGAAAGTTCAGACTTTAAGGTTATAGGAGTTCACAACTCCTCTGACATGAAGGAGTTCTAAGACTGTTTAGAGGAGCTTGATTTAATGGACTATCCTTTCCTTGGGCCTATGTTCACGGTCAAACAGGCAGGAATTATCTTTTTTAGCTCGAAAGCTATATAGGGTTATGGTTAATCCTTAATAGTTGCTAGATTACCCCGAGTCTTTTATAGAATTCAAGGCACAAGGAGTCTCTGATCATTGACTTGGGTTATTATGGACACATAAGGGTGTTATGATCAATAAGCCTAGGCCTTTCAAGTTTTTTAATTTTTGGGCCTCACATGATAAATTCCTAAGTACAGTTAAAGATTCATGGCAATTGCACTGTGAAGGTTCTGACATACAAGTTCTGTTCAGTAAATTGAGAAGGCTTAAGCCTCTCTTAAAGGAGCTTAACAAGGAGTATTTTTCTGATATTACTGGCAGAGTGAATGGGAAAAGATCTGAACTGGAGCAAATTCAAATTTTTAATCTGACTCATGTTGAGTAGAGGAGTGTTGATGATGAGAAAAAGAATTCATGATGAGCTTGTGAACTTGGAAGTAGCTGAATATGAGTTCTATAGACAGAAGGCTAAGATGCATTGGTTAAATGAGGGGGATCTCAATATTAGATTCTTTCACCAGATGGTAGAATCTAATAAGAAAATGAATACCATTAGAGTAATTAAAGGAGAAGATGGTCAATATTATGACACTTTTGAGGGCATGGCTACTGAGTTAATGAGTTTTTTCACTAACCTGATTGGTGTTGAGGACCCTTTTGTCAAGAGCAGTTTTGTTGAGGATCTAAAAGGTATGCTAAACTATTCCCTGCTAGAAGGAGCTGCTGATTTTTTAATTAGAGAGGTAAGTGATATGGAGATTAAGGAGTCCAAGTTTAAGCAAGAAAATTACAAGAGCACAGACCCTGATGGGTATACCTCTGGGTTTTTCAAGGTTGACTGGGACATTATAGGTACTGGTTTTACTTCTGCTGTGAGGTATTTTTTCCATTCCTCTTGTTTACTGTCTGCATTCAATTCCACTTCCATAGTTTTGGTATCTAAATCCCTTAATGCATGCCTAGCTAAAGAATTCAGGCATATCTCTTGTTGTTCAGTAGTTTATAAAACTATCACAAGAATTCTTGTTAATAGACTTGCCCCTTTCTTCCCTGGCATGATATCACTTAGTCAGTTAGCCTTTTTCAAGGGTAGAAACATTGTTGATAACACCTTGCTAGCTCAGGAAATTGTTAAAGGCTACTCTAAGAAGAGCCTTTCACCTAGATGTGCAGTTAAAATTGATTTACAGAAGGCTTTTGACTCTGTTAGTTGGGAATTCTTGTTGAATGTACTTGCTACTATGGGGATCCCTGGTATTTTCTGTAATTGGATTAAGGTCTGCATTACTACTCATATGTTCTCTCTTTCTTTAAATGGTAGCTTGGTGGGTACTTTAAAGGAGCTAGGGGGATTATGCAAGGATATCCTTTATCTCCTAATCGATTTGTCATTGCCATGAATGTTCTGTCCACTCTCTTAGATGTCACTGCAAAACATGTATCTTTAAATTCCACCCTAAGTGTAGAAGAATATGTCTCACTCATCTTTTCTTTACGGATAATTTGCTTGTTTTTTGTCATGGCTCTTTGGATGCTGTGTTGGGAGTGAAAATCACTTTAGATAAGTTTTATGAGTTGTCTGGCCTTAAACTGAATGCTCAGAAGATAGAACTATATGCTTGTGGTTTGAATATGCTTGACCTAGAGCAGATCCGATTGGTTACTGGGTTTAGGTTGGGATAACTCCCTCTGAGGTATCGTAGGGTGCCTCTGGTGACCCGTAAGCTCACAGGTAAAGACTGTGAAGCTCTATTGACAAAGATTAAGGACAAGCTTAGGCATTGGTCTGACAAGAACCTGAGCTATGGTGGTAGCCTCCAATTGGTTAAAACTGTCTTGTTCAGCATCTTTAACTATTAGAGTAGGCAACTGGTTTTACCCAAGGGAATCATCAGGGATATTAAATGCCTTTGTATGTGTTTCTTCTGGAAGGGCAGTGATTCCCTAGCAAAAGGAGCTAGTGTGGGATGGAATCAAATCTGCTCCTTGAAGTCTGAGGGTGGGTTTGGTCTTAGAAGCCTAGTGGTCTGAAATAAAGCTTGTTGTCTGCTACTTGTAAAAAACATATTGGCTAATGAAGGCTCTCTTTGGATTGCCTGGATTATAGAGTATTGTCTCAAAACAACTAGCTTTTGGGATGTAGAGTGCAAAGCCCACTTTAGTTGGATCTTGAGCAAACTTTTGAGTATGCGAGAGGAGGATAGACGGTTATTCTTTCCTTGTGCCAACTGGAGCCTTATTAAAGGTAAATGGATTTGGGACAATATTCGGGATTATAGGGCGAAGGTAAACTGGCACAAGCTGATTTGGTTCCCTGCTCACATCCCCAAATTCTCTCTAATCTCGTGGATAGTCATTCTCGATAGGTTGCTTACCAAAGATAGGCTTGTCCGTTTTGGTTTGGCCATTGATAATGTTTGTGGTTTGTGTGGCCTTGGCATTGAATCTCGAGATCACTTCTTTGTTGAATGCTCTTTTGCAAAGGAAGTGTGGGATATTGTTCTAACTTCCTGTGATGTTTGTTATGACCTGAACAATTGCGATGATCTTTTTAATTGGTTGATTGCAAATTTGAAGAGCAAATCCCGCAGAGTGCGTATCCTAAAACTTGCTTGGACTGGCCTGCTGTATTCTATTTGGGAAGAGCGTAACCATAGGCTCTTTAGGGGCTCGTCTCGCTCGGTTGATGTAATTGTAAATAGTATTAAAGTGGATGTAAGAGTCAAGTTGTGTAGATATGGCATGTTTAGGCTTGATAATGTTAATAGGTGTTTATACTTGAATTGGGGTCTATCTTAGTGAGGTAACTTTGTTGGTTATAGCAGCTAGTCTGCATTCTTGGATGAAATATAACTTACTTATCCAAAAAAATACATGTAAGTTGTGTGTTTTTATATATATATATATATATATATATATATATATATATTATATATATAATATCATGCTTTCATGTACTTAAGATTTGAGTTTGAGTTTGAGCTTCAATCGAGTTAAGCCTGAGAATATTTCAAGTTTAAATTTTTTCAAGCTCGAGTCAAGCTTCAATTTTTTTATTTAGAGTCGAGCTAGAAAATTTTATGCTCACAAGCTTTCGAGTCAAGTTGAGATTCAATTTTTAATTTCAAGTTCGAGTTGAGCTCGACAATTTTAAACTCGTGATTATTCGAGTCGAGTCGAATTCAATTTTATACTTTTCAAATCGAATGGAGTTCAACACTACTCGAACTTAGCTCATTTATAGCCCTAACTAGGAGTGGAGCATAAAACCTATTTTAGGGTATCGGAATTGCATTTTAAGATTTTTGAGAATCAAAATATAATTATATTATCATATTGATTCATATGTTTAAAAAAATTCAAATCAAAAAGAAAATTTTCCATTTTAAGGAATCCAAGATCACAATTAAACATATGAAAATTCAAATAAATATAAAAATATAATTTTAAACTATAAAAAAATATTACTATTAAACATTCAAATATTTAATCGATGAAAAGAGATCTCAATATTTAATTTTATAAATATTTTACTACCAAAAGATCATAACGTATTTAAACATGTATTAGTATTAGATGCATTGATATTGAAAAAAATCAAAAATACTATTAATTTTAACAAAGAAAATTATATTAAGGAAATCATTTTTATAATGAATAGTTACAATATCTAATCTAAACCAATTAATTACTAAATTAAATATACATAGTTATAAAAATAAAAATATAAGTTTAAAACTACACATATTAATAAAAATATATGTCTACCAACAATCAGTTTGTCTAATGGGATGAGATACTATATCCCTCGAGTAAGGTCAGGAGTTGAATTATGAAGTTTGTGAATTGAGCAAATTGGGTTGGGAGGGTGGGTCACCTTCGTCTTTTTAATATCCGACCTGAATTAATCGATTAAGAGATCATATACCCATGGTTATACTAAAAAAAATAAAGATATATGCCTATTTTATTTTCAAAAAGTATAGAAAGGACAACCATGTTGAAACCAATATCAAGGTTGGGAAAATTATAATAAAATAACAAACAACAAATTTTGTCTCAAGTCACCCATGTGACATTTCCCCAACTACCATGTTCACTTGTCCAACAGGAAATTCAATAAACTCAAATACTATCATCAAAAGTGGATAAGGTGAATAACCATAAAATTGTGTAGACATTACACAATAAAGTGGATAAAATGAATTTTTTAATATTAAATTGAAAATCTCAGGTCATTTCTTTAATTTATTTTAGTACTTAATATCACTCTCACAGAAAATATTAATATATTTTGGTTATAATTATTTCCCATATATGTAAAAAAATTTGATAAATTTCATGTATATTATTCAAAAGAAATATAATTCTATTATAAGCAACAAAGAGTCAAAAGGCCCTTAACAATAAATTCTCCGAATATTGTAATGGTGAAGATTAACCATTGCCCCCTTAATCTAATTTGGATCAGTTCTTTAATAACAGAGAACACCAATAGCAACTCGAGCCTGATCTCTAAATTGTCTGTGATTCCTCTCTTTCCTGATGAAATATTTATGAGCATTCTAAGCAAGCTTAAAGATAGTGGCTAGAAGAGACTTTCCTTTAAGATTATGTATTGCCCAAGTCAGCTTCTCCTCCCATCGAAAAAAGGCCTTCTCTAGAGACCACACATTATCTCGATACTACCTCAAACTTTCCTCATAAAGTCATGTTCACACAACAAATGACCTCTAGTCTCCAAAGCATTATTGTAACCCCCTAGACCCGGCCTATGCATTTCGACTAAGTCTAGTGGATCACATACATGATTCTTAAAGACATTTTCTGAAACCGTTATCCAATCAATGTAAAACCACATTATTCATGACATGAAATTATAATAAATTATACTATTAAAACTCAACTCTTAAATATAAAACCAATCAGTAATAAATTAATTTAAAACATATCTTAAAAATCAAAACCACGATAAACTGAATAGTTTTAGCAAAAGTATCATAATTATAAAATCCAATACTTTAAAATAGATCCATGTCACCAGAATAAAGTTAACTTGCAAGTTTAAAATATTACAATCAGATATACTTCAAGAGATATGTTGATCCTCCAAGTGCTCGAACCGAGGTATCTAACCAACAATATCTGAAAGGGGAAAAATATTTTCGAAAGGTGAGCTAGGCTCAGTGTGTCCCAACATTACCATAAAATCACAATAGGTACATTAAACAAATTATAGTCCAGTAAATCTCACAAATTCGTAAAAGAGTTTAACTTTTGAAAATCATAGTTTAAACCCTTTTCTGGTACACCATCAGTAGTTCCCAAAATTATTTTTCATATAGCTTACTTTATGCACATAGCAAAAAGAAAGCCGACTTAAGGATAGGCTATGAAGCTTGTATCCTTAAGCCCAAGTCAATAAGTCCATATAGCTTACCCTAAGCACACAGCAAAGGAAAGCCGACCTAATGAAACATCTTGGGGCCCTCAAGAGTCACATTAGGCCCGTTTATTAGCTTGATCAGAGCTATACAATTTTAGTTCAATCCATCCCAAAATCAATATCCATATACCAGTCATCAAAGTCCATAAATCATCAACAATAAATCGGTGTACCAACATAATAAACCATATATTTCAATGTACCATATTTCAAAACATATAAAACCATTATGTAGTAAACAGGAACACACTTCGATAATGGGTTCAGATAGTAGATCTACTGATTGCTGGTTTCACCACGCTCTGTTACAGTTTTCGAACGGGTGAATACTGGTATACGTGGTTTAACTGATCTAGAAGAGCTGGGTCGAGCTGTCGAACGATCCGAAGAGTCTCTTGTACCTTCAAACAATAATAATTAATCAACTCCAAATCTTACTTAATTGTTCAAAGCTAAAATTCTTAAGTATATAAGCATTTTTTGGGTTTTACTATCATTTTGGGGAATTTCGAGTCTGAATTTGGCCAAACGGATTACGGAATCGGAATCAGGACGTCGAAAAATATAAAGTATAAATTTTCGAAAATTCAGATTCTTGGTCAAAGTCAAAGTCAACCACTTTGACCGTCAATTTGGAGGCCTTCAGGTTCGAATTTGACGAAACAGACTTCAGAAATTGATTCGGGACGTCGAAAACTATCAGAATAGGTATACTCGGAAAAGATTTATGGTCGTTTAAGGGTCGGTTAAAGCCATTTTAAGTTTTGGTCAAAGGAAGTCAACGGTCAACGGTCACGGTCAACGGTCGGGTCGGGTCGGTCGGGTTGGGTCAGACCGGTCAAATCGGTCAAAACTGGTCAAACCGGTTAGAACCGGTTGAAAACCGGTCAAACCGGTTTCCATCCCTCCACTCTCCCTGCGGCGACGCGTGTGGCGCGTGAGGCCTCCTCCGGGGGTCTAAAAATTCCGGAAAATTTTCTAAAAATTATTTTAAGCGGTTTCGAGATACTTACAAAGATCGGTTCAAATTTTTGAACGGCGGAGAGCTCGATTTCAACTCAGCTGAATCTTTGACTGCTCCACCTCCTCACGCGCCGCCGTCGACGGCGAACAAGGTTGACACCGGCGGACTCGAAACGACACAAGGAACACGATGGTGCAGGAGGTGTCGAAAATCGATCAACGATCGAAGATGAATTTAAGATTTTCCCGGCGGTGGTGCTAAAAAACGTTGATACTTTGACTCGAAATTCACAGCGTTTGGCAGCGTTTTACTAAAATTTGTTTATTAGCCTTTGTTCACTAGTCCAAGATGAACACGATGGTGGTTTCAATTTGACGATCGGATGTCGAACGGCGTCGGGATCAGACTTGCAAGAAGGGTGCGAGAGGAGGAATTTTGTTTACAAAAGTTTCTAATTTTAAAATCAGAAACGCAGTGCATGTATAAAACCACATAACCTGCCGACACTCTTTGGCTAAATTCAGGGCTTAGTCCCTGAATTTCCTTTAACTTCTAAAATGGCCTAAAATTTTGAAAACTTCCGATTAAATCCTCAAATTTTGCCAAATTACTTAATTAATAAAAAAATTCCAAATTTTATTCCGGGTTGTTACAATTCTCCCCCTCTACAAGCAATTTTGTCCTCGAAATTTACCTTATGAGAGTAGTTGAGGAAACTGAGCCTCCATTGACTCCAATGTCTCCCAAGTAGCTTCAGAGGGGCCTCGGTTACTCCATTGAACTTTTACCATTAGAATGCGCCTATTCCGAAGAACTCTCTCATCTCTTTCAAAGATCTGAATAGGCTCCTCCTCATATGACAAATCAGGTCTTAGCTCTACATTCTCAACCTGAATGATGTGATCTGGATCTAGACGGTATCGCCTCAACATTGATACATGAAAGACATCATGAATACGATTAAGCTGGGAAGGCAACTCAAGCTGATATGCAACAGGTCCTACCCTCTTCAAGATACTAAATGGTCCAATAAATCTTGGACTCAATTTACCCTTACGCCCGAATCTCAATACTTTCTTCCATGGAGATACCTTGAGAAAAACCTAATCTTGAATGTCAAACTGTATATCCTTCCTCCTTTGATCTGCATAAGATTTCTGCCTATCAAATGCCTCTTTCAGACGGTCACGGATCAATCTGACTGTGTCCTCTGTCTCCCGCACTAACTCATGTCCCAAAGTCTTCCTATCACGCAACTCAGTCCAACAAATCGGGGTGCGACACCTACGACCATAGAGTGCTTCATAGGGTGTAATACGAATGCTAGTCTGGTAACTGTTATTATAAGCGAATTCAGCCAAAGGCAAAAAGTTCTCCCAGCTACCATGA